TTACATTTGAATTTGCAGGAAAAAAGACAATTTTTTTTTTGTCCAACAAACAAATGCAGATGTTCTATGCGCCAAGTTGGAAGGATAAAATTAACTACGTAGTAATATCTATAGTTCTTCCGAATAGTATATATATATATATATATATATATATATATATATATATCGTCTATATTACCTTTTATTGATTAACCTTTATCTGGTTTGCCTATCAAACAAACAGTTTTCTTTCCAAAAGCAGAGAGCTTATTCCAGTTTAAGCTAAGAATTAGCTTTAAAATTTCGACAAAGACCTCCTCTCCCTTTTACTTTCATTCTTTCTGATTTTGTGTACGTTCTAATAGCCAAAGCCGGCACCACTAAACAGAATTCAGCAGACGGCCGAAAGGTTAATGAATATGCAAGATGCCTAAACTTAAACAGCTAAATGACCAAGTAAATAAATAATATATTTTTCCTCTATACTATCGATGATGGTAGGCAAAACTGAAAAAAACTGGGAGAACCAAACGAAATATAGGGAATGAAGAAAAGAAGAAAAAAGTAGCAGCAAGCAGAATTTTACTTTTATTGATAGAACAGCAAAGCAAACAATTGGCCTGGAAATGTAACATCCGACAAAGCCATGTTTTGTTTGCTTGTTTCTAGTTTTTTTTTCATGTTGCTGCCAAACATCATTTAGCAAAGAGCAACTGTCTTATGCGACAGAATCAGCACTGAATTAGAAATCGGGTCTGTTGGTGCATTAGTGAATAAACAAAATCAAAGGAAAAATTATCTTTTGAAACAGTGTAAAAGCAGCGAATTTGCTGAACAAAAAAACAACGCTTATCTGCTGCTCCAAAATTTGTTTCCAAAATTTATTCTTCCGAAGACGTTAAAAAATAACGTTTCAGCTGTCCTTGTCACTATGGCTGTCTTCAGAATCAGGGTCCAAATTTTCTGCTTCACCCTAACGAATCCGCTGTTAACACATCATGTCGTACAGTTCTTTCCTCTTGAAATTTTAAAAGCAAAATGGAGGAAAATACCACAATTTAAACGAATACCACAGAGAAGAAAAAAAATAGAACAGGATGGAGAAAGTCTTTAGATGTCAGTTCCAAGGGAAATCTCTTCCTGAGATTAGGAGTAGAAAGCGATAAAAGTTACCGAATTGGTACACTTTCCCATTGCAGCCATCAATTTTTTTCCGCACATCAGTTTTTCTTTTCACTTCTGTTTTTTTTTTTTTTTAAATTTATAATTTTATTAGACAAGTGCATTAAAAATAGACTCCTATGTAATCTAGAATAGTTTGATAATGAATGTAAAAATTGATAAAGTTTAATATTGAAAAAAAAAAAAGACAGACAAAAGAAAATTTTTTAAACATTAAGAATTGACAGCTCCAGTGGAAAAAATACAAATTCGTAACATGTTTGTCTCAGTCACTACGTCAACCATCATCCTAATAACCATTATTGTTATCATTCCAAACTGTCAGTGTACCCGACCACCGCTCGCCAAATAAAATGAGTAATATCGATAAGTCGACTGAAACAAGTGTTTAAAATACGTTTGCGGGACGTTTGAGTAGTGCTTAGCTGCTTTAAAATTTAAATTCAAGTAGTCCGCCTCATCAATGCAGCGACAACAACGACGTATATCAATGAGAGCAAAGATGTAAGAGCATTGCTGGAATGCATTTATGTTTTCTTTATGCTCACTAGCGGCGACAAGCCTCACTGCAATGACGAATACTTACGAACAAAATATTAAAAAATACACCTGGCAATTCATTCGTCAGAATTTCAAGAAATTCTATCTTTTTGTTCCTTTCACCTCTGTAGTCTAGTTACCCTACACCGCTGCTACTAACTCCGTTCTATTTTCCAAACTTATTAAAACCGTAAAAAGCCATCATTAGTCGTACAAAAAAAAGGTAGAAAATTCTAAATTTTTTTTGACCGCCAGACAAATGTTTGAGAGACAAAGAAATAAAGTGTGTAATTAACTGTCAGTTGGTAACAGAGACTTTAAATCAGAAAGCTAACAACAAAATGAGACAAGGTGGCCTCAGATACTTATGATAAACATTCAAAGTACTTAATACTTTAACCATCAATCAACAAGCGCAAGAAAGTTACGGGGAATTACATAAGAAGAAAGCCATACCTGTTCCAATTCACCATTTTAGTTTTGTTACCTTATCTTTCTTTCCCTTTCCCATTTTTCCTTATTTTCTCTCCTAGTTTTCCTTCTAGTTTCTGTTCTTTCTCCCTAACGTAAAAAAAAAGTACAACATAGAAAAATAAAACGACTAACATGAGACATCTTCCATTCGAACATCTTGATCATTATCAACAGCAGCGTTCAAGGCAACACGACTCCCATCCGTTTTAATACTGTGCATTTGCCATGAAGAATCTGATCCACGTTGACATCCCATCTGCACTGGTTTCATTTCTGTATCATAATCTGACTGTTGCTGACGTTGAAGCTGATGCTGTTGCTGTTGCTGTTGTTTTTGCTGTTGTACAGCCGACGTTGACGGTATTTGCTCCTCATTATACCGTTTACCGGATGACGTTTGTGGCACTTGTAGACCATAAGAAGAATCACCTCCTACTGGGTTTTGGTTCATATCAGCTCTCATAGACGACGAAAACAGCACCGATGACGATAATGACGAGGATCGATGTGGATTCAAACAATTTGTTGCAACACCGTTAAAGTCCGGACAAACTGATATCGATTCAACATCTGCAGCACCCGGTGATAACAGGTCCAAAACTTCACAGAAGGCTATAAATAAATATATACAAATAAATTACAGTTCTATCAATAAAAACTACTAAAACTAATGTTTACTTATACTTCCGAGTCTTTTAACAAAGAAAAGTTGAATAAAAATTGAGAAAAGCACAACAAAACACTGCAATTTTCAAAAAAAAAAAAAGTACTGGTGTTAGAGATCAATTTACAACATATAAGGCAGTGATTAAAAATGTTATGGACCATTCCACGTCAAATCGCACACAGGGCCATTCCACGTCAAATCGCACACTTTTTTCCCTTCAAGATCTCAGATTTTCTTCAAATTTTGCTGATTAGTAGAGTCTAGGCGAGCATAGAGAAAGGTTCAAAAGAAAAAGAACCTGGAAAAGTGATTTCCCCGCCAAGTTACATCCCCTCAAAGTGGCAAAATTTACCAAGTTGCCACTTGACATGCCTATCTTCACAGATTTGTAATCTAACTCGTTTTGAATATAATTTGATGCTTTTTTGTTTATTAGATTTGTCATGCCTTAAATTTTTAAATGCGTATTTAAACTTTTGATTCTGTTAAAAAATCACATAAATACAATAAAAACAGAATTTCAAACAAACATTAAAAAAATAAACAAAGTTTTAAATTTTTTGAAAGAAAAACAAATTTTATGCAAATTTTTTGCTCTACAAAATATCAAAATTTGAAGATGGCGATTTTTCGGTATCCAGAGCTACGAGCCAAAATAGGATGTAAAACTGAAAAAACCCACTATTTTTGCAGTAATCTGCCGCAGCGGGCAGCCACCGTATGCTTTTAACGTTAAAAATTTGCTATAAAAGTTGTAGTTTACTTCCATAATATTGATCATTATTCAACAGAGTGGTAAGATGAAGTCCTCTTCTCCTCTTTCCAACGTTTTTTCCTTCTTAATTTTAGAATTGTCTCCATCTTGCACCCGTTGAAGTTTTGGTTGCATAAGCGATCGAAAGCCCGACTCTTTGTTTTCCTTTGAATTTACTTGCGGAGTTCTCCAGAAACAGAGAAAGCTTTAGGAGAAATCTTAATTCAACAGATCTCCAGG